GCATTGCTTAATGGTTCGGTTTCGGTTTTTAACCGAATGACCGAATTAAAATCTATAGAAATCAAATGAAAAATTAAAAAAACTCATAATAAAAAACCCGAACCGAACCGAACCAATGAAAAACATACCCCTTTGAATATGATGTTCTTGTGTTTTATTTTTAATTGTTCACTTGATTTGTATAGGTTTCAACTCGGTTATTCAGTTAAATGTTCACTTGAACGGAATATGATGTTCATACGGTTTCAATTGAAAAAACTCATAACCAAAAAATTGAACCGAACCAAATCTCAGATATCAGACAGCAAAATGAGGGGTCAGTAATACAAGAACCAATGAAAAACATACCAATCAAAGTCACATTGAATGGTTGCTTTCGTTCGTCTAAGATGGTAATAAAGTGCCCCACTGATCATCATTAAAATCACTCAAACAAACACGATCAGCAGATGTGATAGAATTAGCTAGAGGCACCTGTTGGTTTTCCTCCTAGTGGGGAAACCAATTTGGGTTTGGTTTAAGAAAAACCAAACTTGGGTCTATTATAATCCATGAGATTATTTAGGGCTAAGGATTATGAGGGAGTATATATATGACTCCAAACCTAATTTTGGTGTAAGGAAAAACTAATTGAAGAGAGGCAATTTTCGTAGGCTAAGAAGGAGAAAAACAGTTTCGTCAGGGTTTGTTCAAGAGAACGTTTGGAAGCTTAAACGTGCTCCAATTTGGCTGAAATTTTTGGGTCAGCTTCGTAACTCAGTGGTCTTGATATTCAATGGTGGAGATTGTATTTCAACGGTTGGTTNGTCGCAGATCTGGNTTTTAGCGANNCTGTTCGCTGCTGTTGCGAGTTCAGATTTCANACTGTGTTGTCTTGAGNGTTNGGGAAATCCGACGGTGAATTCTTCTTGGATTGAGCTAAAATTTGGCAGAGATATTTCTGACTTGTTTATCTAGGATTTTTACGGTGGAGATCTGATTTGGTGACCGGAATCCTAGTGAATTTATGGTCGTTTGGGACTGCTTGTTTCTAGGCTCTTGTATTGCTCTCTTGTGGTGTTTCTTGTATTGGAGATTGCTCTTTGGAGCCTTAGTCTCTGGATCTATCTGTGAGAACAGGGAGAACGTGGTTGTAACTCAAATTTGATATAGTGGATTTTTGAGTGGACTACGGTCCCGTGGGTTTACTCCTCACATTGAGGAGGTTTTTCACGTAAAATAATTCGTTGTCTCATTTACTTTATTGCTTTGATTTGCTGCTACCGTATTCTATATTTTTTTCACAGATTCACATAAGTGTGGAGAAATTTATTCCACTGCGCCATTGGTGTTTATTGTTTTTCCCCAACAGCACCAACAACACTGACTCGAATATGCGTTGTAGTTAAAGCAGTGTTAGCCACACTATTACCAATGTTTAATACAATGTTACCATGAGCAGAAACCGAATGATTTCGGTATCCACGAGCTCAGTTGAGACGATCCTTAAGACGTAAACCCTATCAATATGGATATCCAAGAGCACGAATTTTTGTTTTTTTTTTGCAAGATGACCACATCTTAAACGGTGAAAATGAGTTCGATTTTCACGAGGCAGAGGAGTGCGATTAAAAGAAGAAAACAAATTTGGTTGAACCGCATAAGCCATTGCATCGTCTCGGGTTTCAAGTCAAGTGCACAAGAAGTAAATTTAGAATTCTCCTTTTCCATTAAAGCACAACAAGCCTCATTGACGCTATAGAGGGGACTGCGAGAAAATAACTTCGACTTAACTGAAACAAAAACATATTCATCAAGACCCTTGAGAAGCAGCTAGATGTTACTGATTTTCTTTAAGTTTCTTTTCAAGCTCAACTCCAGTTGCAAAAAGCCAAAAATCTTTGATCGAAGAAACTCAATCAGAGAAGTTCATAATTGCATTAACTATATGCTTCAATGGTAAGGCCGTGTTGACAACAATTGGCTAATTAAGACAAATCTTTGCTCCCGCTAAAGATTTTTCACAAAATATCGATGCCTAATAAGATCCAATAAATCACGAGATACCTCCATATTGGAAAGCATTGAACGAATTGTAACAGTAACCGAATCCAAGAAAGAACCAAAAAAAAAAC